GTGGGTAAATAATTGACACCCAGATAACGTCTAAACACTATGAAATTATAAAAGTACATTTTGATAATAAATATATTTTCATATTAAAAAATAAATAGCAACTTGTTTTTGAAAAAAAGAAAAAAAAAAGAAAATATTTCCAGCAATGTATTCTTGTTAAAAGAATAATACAAGCAATACAATTTTTAAACAAATTTTCCAGCAATACATTTTTGTAAAAGAAATAAGTAATGCTCGCAAGAAAATTAAATTCCGGTATTAAACAAGCGATAAGCTATTGATATGCCGCTAAAAGAATCAAACTCTGAAACTTTTTACCTGTTACGTAACAGATGATCTGGTTGCGTCGTTTTTCCAATTTCCGTTTGAGGGAAGATTAAGTTCGTCAGTTGACTCCTGTTTGTAGCTTTTGTCTCTTCACTTTTACTGGGAAAATAAGGGTTAGTTTGGTACTTCTATAGTTCATAGTTCCTAGCCATTAGTTTGATTTCGTTTCAAAAAGCGGCGATAAATAACTCGGCAAATATTCAAACAGACCGATTCGTCATTGACAGTTAATTATGGGTTTTTAGTTTGCTGTATTTAGCATTACACATTTGCTTCTAACGATATAATTTATGCCGTCTTATTTTCCTTTTTTTTTTCACTGATAAAAAAAAATATTTACTTGTACTAGTGCTAGTTCATTTTCATCTTCCCTCTGTTGCTTCTGTAGTTGTCGTTGTTGCTGTTGCTATCCCTGTTGTTGTTGTTTTGCTTTTCTTTAGCAGCGACTTATCATGGACGTCATTAAAAACACCTTTGTCTTATAGTTTTTCGCTTCGTCCGTCCATTTTCCGCGTCGAAATGCGACTTGTAACGTATCTAAATAACCCTGTGATTGATTTTCTTCTTTCTTGATGTTCTATGCATATTCATTGGCAGTGTAACCTGATATAGCTGACCCACATGCTCTTCTATGTCACTGGCTTTCTTTGCATAATGTCTGTCAGTATGATCCCCTCTTGTTCGGACAATATGCTTCCTGTCCTGTCATCCTTTACATTGGTCACTAAAACAAATAATATATATATATATATATATATATATATATATATATATATATATATATATATATATATATTATTATTTTGCCAGCAATTGATCGTGTAAACAAATTTTATAAAATAGAATAGACATTTTATGTATATTAGATTCATTGCTCATGTTTACTTATATGCGAATTGTGTTGCTCAAATGTTACCGCTGCAGATGTAAAATAGCTAAAATTCGTATTAGGCCCAAGCTTTCTTTTCTATCTATCTATCTATCTATCTATCTATCTATATATATATATATATATATATATATATATATATACGAAAAGGAGAGAAAAACCGAAAGATTAAAAGAGAAAAGAATCGGGTGGAAAGAAAAATAAAAAATAAGTAAAAATAAAATAAAAGCTAAAAAAAACAAATATGAAAGAAATGGCGGAATCATTTTGAACTACAAAAGAGGAAGTTCCTATGTTTGTTACGAAATCTTAAACCACGAGGTTTATTTTTTTTATATCATTATTTTAAAAGAAATTAGAACACCATATATATATATATATATATATATATATATATATATATTCCCTATTTCTGTATTCGACTCATGGCAGTTAGAGTTGATTCATGACATTCCCTAATATCTGCAACCCGATACTGAGATAGCACACATATATTGCATTAAAAAGAGTCTGTTAAATTCTGTATTACGCAGGGATATGACTTGAATCTCTAATTTCACCACTTCTTAAAACAGAGCTTCAAATATCTAAGCATTCGTATGTATCATCCAATCAAACTGTTTTTAACAAATTCAAATGGAGCCCCTATCTGCTCAACTGGTCTCGAGTCTTGCGGACGTGGGCGGGAGCCTACTATATAGCAAAACCAGTTTTATGAGCAATGTGAACACAGACAACTTCCTAATTTTCAATGCCTAGTTGAACTTTACATCACATAAAAAAAAACTACATACAATCTGATAAAGCGAGAAGAGGAAAAGACCTGTTGAAGCGTTTACATCACAGGCTGACAAAGTTACAATTCCCTACTATTCGGTCAGCACATTTATTTGACTCCAGCGACTGTAAGCTGTAATGTAAAGGAGTTAATATATTCATCACGAAATTTTAAAACCACTAGATTTGTTTAAAAAGCATAGGGACGTTCCGTATATTTGTCTAATAAGATTTCTCGAATATTCCGGCCAGAAGAAGGAAATAAATATACTGTTTAATAAATAAACGACATTTTCAGTATTAAGTCTCTTGGAACAAAAAAAAAAATAAATACAGGGCATCTATTCAAACATATCTATCTATCTAGCTAGCTAGCTCTCCTCTCTCTCTCTCTCTCTATATATATATATATATATATATATATATATATATATATATAACGCATAAAAGGTTAATGGTCAGAGTTGAAATAAACCAGGAAACAAGTGGTTTTAAAAACTGCTCAATACTCGTGTGAAAAAAATAAAAGTGAACATAGAATATAAAGTTTTTAGATTTAAAAAACGGTCAGTTGAATCCGCTTAACTTACTTTCAACATGTCGGTATCTTCAGGTGATTTTTATCAAATAATTATAAATTTATCTGTGAGAATCATTTGAACCGGAAAATCCGAAGTCTTGAGTTCTTGCTTACATATTAGGAAATTCCTCTTAAACATATGTATATATAACGCTGGATAAAAAAAATGTAACTTTCAATTGCTAGCCCCCACCGAAATATTTATAATATCCATGCTTTTTTCTTCTTCTTCTTCTTCTTCTTCTTCTTATTATTATTATTATTATTATTATTATATATATATATATATATATATATATATATATATATATATATATATATATATATACTGTTATTTTTTTCGGCTAACGTACATGTTCTTGGTTCTTTCTTTTTTATACCTTTTTCCCCTTTGATATTTGTTTGATTACTTGCAAATCAAGACACCGAAGGTTTTCCAAACGAGTATAGTTTTTTATACTTATAAGATTTCTTATATATATATATATATATATATATATATATATATATATATATATATATATATATATATATATATATATATATATATCCATTGTCCTGCTATAGGTGTCAACTTCCACCCGGACAATGCAGTGTGCCATAAATTAAAAATAGTGGCAATTTGCTTCATAAGACACCACAATTTGTTTTATTTTTTTTGGGGTCAAGTGACCTACGCGGTATCTGGATTTGTAACTGACGCTTTTCGACGGTTACTAATGATTCCCTCCCTCTCCCCACAAAATTGCGGATTTGGTAAAAGCAAATAATTATTCGCCCTACTCTGACAAAATGACACCTGAGCGGGTCATCCAATGAAGATGGAAATCACTATCAACGTCTTGTAAAAGAAACCCGTAAACAATTCAAACATTTATTACTAATTAGAAGAGAAATAGCTTACCTAGCACAACCATACATTTAGTCACCTTCAATTTACACGTCTTGGGCCCCTACAACTATAAATATTTGTATGAAAAGTCTCCTTCACAGAATCGGCATCTGCTCCCCATTATCGCGTTCATCTTCTTCTCCTTCATGATCTGAAATATCGCTTCCTTTAACGTCGATTTATGTTCTGGAAAATCCATAAGTTTAGGAAGCGAAATCTGAACAGTAAACCGTAATCTGACAGAACCGGTGGGATTTGAATTTTCGATAAACACCCTGCATTAAGCGGTAGATTTTGTTATCATGATGGACGCTGTCGTTACACTATACACAAACTTAGTGAATGATGCCTCATTGTCGACTAAATATACCCACGGAGTATGTCACTTCACTCATTAGCAGTAAGGTCTCCTCTGATTGGTTGCCGAGATGTATTTCCGGAAACCTGAACACATCCCAGAAACACCTCACGTAAACACACATTTGTCGTTTAATTAAAAAATGATGATGTGTGTAATTCCTATTTGAGCGCATGTTCCGCTAAAGATACCGGAAAAATGGTTAGCTCCCTATATTTCTCCAGAAAGTAACGAACTCCTGCGATATTTTGTCAGCATATTCGAACAAAAATGGCGTATTGCTGCCATATCATCATATTCGAACAAAACCGTTTAGGCGTTAGTGTAAAAGATTTATTTTCTACTATACGGCTTCATTTTCATCTGGATTTACAGGCCTATCGTTTGTCTGTCGGTATTTCCATTAACAAATGTTCAGAACAGCTACGTTACTTAGTTTTCCTCATTCAGAGTTTCGCAACCATGACTCGACATGCTACCCACACGAATTGAATCACTCCTCCGTATTCCATTTGAAAGGAGGAAGTTCCTCAAACAGTCTATTACCGAGAACTGTTACTTTGCACAACTTTCCTAGCCTTCTTCAAGTCGATCCCATCTGTCCTATCTTCAAACGTAAACACACACCACATGGTTAGGTGGCGTAAAATCATAGGTTACCTCGGCGTGGTGTAGTGGTTAGCAAGCTTTTGTCGCTAGAACAGTTACGGCTGAATAGGTGGTTGATCCTTTTTGTTGAGAAAATTACATACTTCGATCTTGATCCCATTGATCAAAATATACGCTTAGAAAATCGCTATAATACACACCACATTCAGTCATCGTCTAACATGGGTGTCTCTTGGGCCTTGAAGTGGGTGCACTTTTGTATAAAAAAATGTGCTCTTCTTACCAGGAAGTGTATATTTATCTGAACAAGATTCTAATGGCAGACCTGAAAGACTTAAAAGACAAACTAAATTCGAGAAACAAGCCAAAAAAACAACAACAAAAAAAACGTAGAAGAAGAAACAAATATTCGGACGAGTCAAATTGACTCACACGTCAGTATTGAGTGCAGCGTCTGCACGCAACCTTAGACTCACGACCCACATGACCTGCGGACAAATAAAACTAAATTAAACACACTCAACCCAGTCCAAACCAGCCGCACAAATCAATATGTTTATTAAAACAGTTAATGGTGAAGAAAGTGGGGATGAGAAGGCAGTGAATATATCAAGTAAAACAATAATAATAATAATAATAATAATAATAATAATAATAAGAAGAAGAAGAAGAAGAAGAAGAGGAAGACTGTAAAAGAAAAGATGGAAGCATAAAAAGAAGATAATGTTGGGGGAAAAGGATTTTCGGGAAAAAAAAACAGAAAAGAAATGAAGACTAAAAAAAGAGAAGAAGACCTGTAGACGTAGGAGAGGAAAAATAAAATGTGTTGCCGTACACAAGAGAAAAAGATTCAGAAGGAAAAAGTAAGTCTGGGACAAGTAGAAATTTAAAAGGAAGGGGCGAGAAGAGGAAAGATTTGGAGGTAGTGGAGGATAATGAAAAGTAAGAATTGGAAGAGGAGAGAGAAGAAGAAAGAGGAAAGAGGTACGGACAGAATGAACAACAAAATGAACATTAGAAGAAGAGGCGGGCAAATGACGAATAAAGAGGAAGTAGATATGAGAGAAGAGAAGCAGGGCAATGACCTTAGGGGATATGCGATGAATAAAGAGGGAAACAAGACTGGAAGATCTGGGGAGAGTGGAAAATGAGATTGGGAAACATGAGAGATGCGAAAACAAATGGAACACATGGGAAAAGGAAGACGAGAAATGTGTATTGGGAGATTAAGAAAGAGAAGGAAGGGAAAAGAAGATTGGAAAATATGGAAGAAGAAGAAGAAGAAGAAGAAGAAGAAGAAGGAAAATGATTGGAAGAAAGAAGGAAAGAAGAAAAAAGAAGAAGAAGAAGAAGAAGAAGAAGAAGAAGAAGAAGAAGAAGAAATGATTGGAAAATTTCTCCTCTTCCTCCTTTTAAATTTTCCAATCATTCCTCCCCTCTTTCTTCCATTCGTTTTCCTTTTCTCAAAGAAGGAGAAGAAGGAAAAGAGGAAGAAGAAGAAGAAGAAGAAGAAATGATTGGAAAATTTCTCCTCTTCCTCCTTTTAAATTTTCCAATCATTCATCAAGGAAAAAGGAATGGAAAAAAGGAAGAAGAAGAAAAAGAAGAAGAAGAAGAAGAAAAATTTTCCAATCATTTCTCAAGGAAAACGAATGGAAAAAAATGGAAGAAGTGGAGAAAAGTGTATTGGAAGATAAGGGAAACGCAGGAAGGGAAAAGAAGATTGAAAAATATGGGAGGAGGAGGAGGAAGAGGGGGAGAGGGGAACAAGGAGTAGGAGAAAAATGATTGAAATATATATGAAGAGAAAGAAGAAAAAAGAAGATTGGAAGAAGTGACAGATGAGGAAACAAATGGCAGACGTGTAGAAAGAAAGAGGAGAAAAGTGTATTGGAAGATAAGGGAAGCGGGGAGGGGAAATAGACTGGGAGATATGGGAGGAGGATAATGATGATGATGATGAGGAGGAGGAGGAGGAAGAGGAGGAGAATATGTTTGAAAGGTATAGGAGGGGAAAGAAGATAAAAAGTGTATTGCAAGATAAGAGAAAATGAAGAGGGAATAAGACATGAAGATATGGAAGGATGAGAAGAAGAAGAAGAAGAAGAAGAAGAAGAAGAAGAAGAAGAAGAAGAAGAAGAAGAAGAAGAAAATGACTGGAAATTATAAGAGGAAGAAGAGGAGAAAAAAGTAGATTAAGAGGGGAAAGATGAGGAAAAGAATGGAAGAAATAAGGGAGAAAATGAAAAGACTGGAATAAGATGATGATGATGATGATGATGATGATGATGAAGGATGATATAAGAGGAGGAAAAGAAGATAGAAGAAGGAAACGAAGAGGGGGAAAGAAAGAAGAAGAAGAAGAAGAAGAAGAAGAAGAAGAAGAAGAAGAAAATGACTGGAAATCATAAGAAGAAGAAGAGGAGAAAAAGTAGATTAGGAGACGTGTGAGATGAGGAAACGAATGGAAGAAATGGGGGAGGAAGAGGAGAAAGGGAAAAAACTGAAGAGGGGAAAAGACGTGAAGATATGGGATGTTGATGATGATGATGCTGAGGATGAGGAGAAGGAGGAGGAGGAGGAAAAGAAGAAGGGGAAGTAAAGGAGAAAAGTGTCTTTAACCATAAGGGAGGAGGAGAAAAGAAACTAATATTGAAAGATAAGGGAGGCAATCAAAAAAAGTATGAGTTGAAGAATAGAGGGAAAAACATTTGAAAGTTATGGGATGAGGCTGAGGAGAAAATTTGGAAGACGTTGGGTTAGGCCATAATGGTGGAAAATGTTGGCGTAAGAGAAGCAGCAAAGAAAGATTATGAGAAGTTATGGTTGGAGAATAGAGAGAGAAATAAGAACTGAAAATGCAGAAGAAATAGGAGCAGAAACGAAGACTGGAAGAGGAAAGTAAAGATGGATGAAGACGACTGAAAAATATGAAATGGTGGAATACGAAAAGGAAGGAGAAAGAAAATAAAGATTATTAATTGTGAGAAGAAGAATAAAAGAAGTGAGTCGGGCGTATGAGAAGCACAAATACGAAAAGATCAAAGATCTTTCGATGATGTCGAATGGGAAAAAATTAATAATAAAAAATAATAATTTACCTAGCCTCCCAACAATCACAAGTTTAACACCAGGTCACAGTTATCAAGGAAACGCTCTACCACGTGCGCAATCGTATAGTAACAGAAATTGTCCACTTCCTCGACATTTCCGTTTGTGGGATGCTTGAGGCATTACGGATTGACACTGGTCCCCAGTTTAAGTTTAGTGAGAAAGCTACAGCCCGAAGCGCAACCTTCTGGAACGGGACGTTGATTAATATCCGCCTAGGGGACCAGAACGTCGAGAAAAGGTTAAATATATATTATGTTTAGCATAGCAAATTTTCAACAAGGTTGCAACTAGCGGGCAGTCACTGAGCATCGAACTCTCTACTCAGTGGTAATTTTCAGCCAGACTAACCATTAAACCATACCGAGACGATCTAAGGAACCAGAATGCTTACGAATCGAAAAATATCGCTGAAAATGCAATGGTTGATGTTGAAAAGAAAATGAGTTATTATAAAAGAACGGATTGTACTATTAGGACATGAAAAATATTTACTGTACTGTGAGCTATACTATATATAAGTGAGAATCGTTTTCACTACAGAACCCATCAGAGGTTCTAAAATGATTTCGGTGATATTCCCTTAATATTAGTGAAATGACATCGGACATATACATGGGTAAATTGTCGCCCTTTTATGTTTTTAATTTCGCGCATGCGCGTTGTTTGTTTTTGATTTTGTCGACTGCAGAGTATGATAAGGTCAGTTGGGCACCGTCTATGAGAAAAAACAGTACCATAACGCAATATATTCCGTCAGAAATTTGGAAACGGCATGCTTTGCTATCGCGCCTGAAGATTCAATACGAAAATTTTCAGAGAGTGTCAATCTGAGGACAGTGCAGAAAATTCGAAAAGAGTTGGATAATATATCCAGTCAACATCATAGTGTCTAGAGTGACCACTAGTGATGGCGATGTTACACCTCCATTCATTTTCCCATAGGGCCTCAGACTCAACACGGAGGCCTACATCAAGTGACCGGAGGAGGTAGTGCTCCCCTGGGTCAAGAGGGTCACTGTTGGAATATCCTATGTCTGGCAACAGGACTCTGCACCATGCCACACAAGCAGGGGAACCCAATCATGGCTGTGAGACAATTTCTGCACCGACATCACTCCTTACATCTGGCCACCTAATTCCTTAGACTGCACCCACCTTGTTTATTGTGTGGGGGGCGCAGTTGAGCGAGAGACCCAGAAAACTCCTTGTAAGACCAAAGACGAATTGAAAGCAAGGATTATGGCAGCATTCCCCAACTTAAACAAGGAGACCGTCCAGAAGAGTTGCAGGAGATTCTGAAGTCGTGTGGATGCTGTGGTTGAAGCCAATGGCGGTGTTATTGAACAAATTTACTCTATAGTATTTCAAGATATGTTTTGCGTAATTTTGGTAAATATGTCTGTTAAAATCAAATGTCAGTGTTATTTTCATTTTTGCGTTATTTAGACGAGAATTTATCCATCGCACCCCCTATATATCTGGCAATGAATGCGAAAAAGAAAAACACTTCTTAGCGACACGTTTCATTCCAGTGTAATAAATCTTATATATAAAAAGGGTGATGGCAGTTGAACAGAAATGCTACACATATTGAAAATATTAAAGACAGTGAGACGCTAAGTATTATGACATCGTGCTGGAAAAGAGGAAACCAGAGGAGAGTGAAACAAGTGAGTATTACGAGAAAAGAAAGTATTGGAAAAGACCTTACGATTACCTTACGTAGCAAGTTCAACAATAAAATAAGGAAACCTATCTGCCAATCTAGTACTGCCATTATTTCCATGAAGTCGAAAGAAAGGGGGAAAGATCATCAGTATATATACCTTTAAATATATTTATAGAGAAGGCTCAGGGAAGCTGCGCTAGGGAGGTGGAAAAGGGACCGAAGCCGAAATGCCAGGTCAGGACCGGTAACGTTGCATATTCAGTTTTTGTCAAGAATTTATATCAGAAGCAGCAGATTTAATAAATTCCCGTTTCAGATTTCATATCATTATTTTGCTTTGTGTTGATTACATCTGGAGATTCTATTTTAAGTAGTTGTTATGAAACATATATTAAGTTTACATATTTTTTAAAATCGCCCCGCTCTCTCTCTGTTCTGTCATCCATTTACACAATCTCGTTAGATATCTTACTCGCTGCTTCCATCTGTTCCTCTTGCCTTTGATATATTAATTTTCCCAGCATAGCTTAGATGTGGCACAAGGCCGAAAGTAGGGGGGCACCCATTGAGAATCGAACTGACTACTCAGCCGTAATTGTTCTAGCGAGACAAGCTTACTAACCATTACACCACCTTGAGGTGCCCCTCTTGCCCTTTGATATACGCTGTGAGTGGAAACCTTTTCGAGCCTTCTCGGTTCATTATTTCAACAAGTTACTTCCCCTTTCTGTCTCGTTTTGATTCGAACGTTAGGTGGTCTGTAATTGTTTCGAGTTTAATGAAATTTTCCTCGTCGCTTACGCAATCCTTCTACGTTATTATCAGCATCCTTCTGTATAAACCATATTTCTAATATGCTCAAGTCTCCTCTTCATTTCTGAAAAAAAAAAGTGTCCTGCATTCACGGCTATATAGAAGGATCGCTAGGGCGCCTCGAGGTGGTGTAATGGCTAGCAAGCTTGTCTCACTATAGCGATTGAGTAGCGAGTTCGATCCTCACTAGGTAGCCCCTACTTTCGGCCCTGTGGCACAGCTAAGTTTGGAAAATCACTATATAGAAGGATTACTTTTCTCTAAATGTAAAAAAAAAAACCTTTTCTGTTTCTTAGCCATTTGTTTAAATTTTGGAATGCATCTTTCGTTATTAAAATCCGCCTTTGGATTTCATTGTCATTTTGGTCTTTTGTTAAAGAAAAAAACTTTCCAGATATTGAAAGTGTAATCTATTGATTTTGAAATCTCTACCGCATCTTGAGCATTTTTTCTCTTGCTGATAAAGATACATTCTCTTTTCTTCCGACATATTCTTCCTTCTTCCCGATTTTCTTACCTAACTTGTCGAGGAGATCTTGTAATTTCTTCGCTGTCTTCCATAAACACCGTGTTGCGACCTCCGATAATAAATCCTGATAGAATCAGCCTCACTATAGAGCTTGAACAAATCCGACGAATAAATTTGCTTGTCTTACGAACCGTTCTGTTATTGTGTATTTACATAATTTGATCACAAAATGAATTCCGGTTTATTCTCATAAAAATTTACCTCCTCCTCCTCCTCAACATCCCCCTCCTCATCATCATTACTCCTCCTCTTTTTTTCCTCCTCCTCCTTACTCCTCCTCTTTTTCTTCCTCCTCCTCCTCGTCTTCTTCTTTTTCTTCTTCCTCCTCCTCCTCCTCCTCCTCCTCTTCTTCTTCATCCTCCTCCTCCTCCTCTTCTTCATCATCCTCCTCCTCCTCTTCTTCTTCTTCCTCCTCCTCCTCTTCTTCTTCTTCCTCCTCCTCCTCCTCCTCTTCTTCTTCCTCCTCCTCTTCTTCTTCCTCCTCTTCTTCTTCTTCCTCATCTTCTTCCTCATCCTGCTGCTCTTCTTCTTCTTCTTCTTCTTCTTCTTCTTCTTCCTCCTCCTTTTCATCCTCCTCTACTTCATCCTCCTCTTCTTCCTCCCCCTCCTCCACTTCTTCCTCCTCCTCCTTTTCTTCTTCTTCCTTTTCCTCCTTTTCTTCTTCTTCTTCCTCCTCCTCCTCTCTTTCTTCCTCCTCCTCCTCCTCTTCTTCCTCCTCTTCTTCTTCTTCCTCCTGCTCTTCTTCTTCTTCCTCCTCCTCCTCCTCATCTTCTTCTTCCTCCTCCTTCTTCTTCTTCTTCCTCCTACTCCTCTTCTTCAGCACCTAGGCGTTCATGACTCTCCCCAAATTCCTAACATTTGTAACCTTTGGTAAAATGTGTCTTTTTTTCTCTCTCTGCTAAACCTTCTTCTGCCAACCATTTACACAAGCTCGTTAATTAAGTTAAACTCTGTTTTCCTGCGTACCTCTTGCCTTCACTGTGTCCTCTGAAGGTCAAATTCTCCATGATCTCTTTCCTCATGACGTGTCGTAGAGATTTCAACGTTCTGATGTCTCATATGTGTGGAATGTCCCTTTTGTTTCCATTTTCTCTGAAACTCTCTTACCTCAAAGCGCTTTTATATCTGCGGTATGATTTTCCAGCATTCATTACCTTATAAGAGGACTGATATAACATAACAGTTCAGTAGTCTTTTCTTTGTTTGTAACGAAATGTTCTTGTTTCTTTAATATTTTGCTTAGCTTTTGGAAGGCATCTTTCGCTATCCCAATGCGCCTTAGGATTTCAGTGTCGCACTTTCCATCCTCTGTTAAAACACTTCCCAGATATTTTACTGTTTCTTAATACTTTGCTTATCTTTTGGAAGGCATCTTTTGCTATCCCAATGCGCCTTTGGCTTTCAGTGTCACATTCTGCGTGTTCTGTTAAAACATTTTTTTTTTCACTTTTTTAATTTTGGTATCTCCATTGATCTGTTTCTGCCGATTATTTGAAATAGGTCATTTTACCATGCAAAACAAAAGCTTATTATTCTATTACCTGCACCTTGATATCATGAACTCACGGACTTGTCTATATCTTCAACTATCCAAACGTTCGAAGCCATATTAAACAATATACGGACAAATATGTTGTAATTGACATCTTTGATAATGGCTTAAGTAAGCCGAAAGCTTAGATTATATAAAAAAAAATATGGATCAATATTGTGAATTTCTTTCTTCGTTCAACGATAATGTTATTAAACTTATCAGATGTTACGAAAAAAAATTACACTTGTCTATATCATTTAATGAAACGTGTATAAATGAAAATATGCTGCCTAAATACACACAATATTTATATATCAGGTGAGGTAAGTGTAGGTTAACAAGCAAATAGTGATATAGGTTATGTCCATGGCCGAAGGTAAGTTCGATACGAACTCAGAAGAAGACCAAACCTGCCAAATGTACATAAGAAGCAAAAATTACTCCCGAAAAGGCAGGAAAAAAATGCGTGTCTATACCTTTCAGGAACATTCTTGTTTCTTTCTTTTTTGTTGTTGTTGTTGTTACTCTCGCTTTTATTTATTTTTCTTTCCTTTCTCTGATTTCGATCAACGAGA